CTCCCCTCCCCTCCCCTCCCATTTGACCCTCCTGCTTTTTTGCTTGCCCAAAGCAAAAATACCTGAGATAACCAGACTTCTCTCCACCCCCCTTCCCCATCTGGACTCGCACCCTAGCGGAGCCAGACTGCCTTTGCTGGCCTGTTCTGATCTGGGCTATCGTCCCTTAAACGGCTGCTTGGGTTCTTGGAAAAGCCGGGATCACAGGGCACAGGTACCTTCTTCAGTTTTAGGTTGGTTGCATCGTGGCAGTACTTGTACCAGACAGACTTGAGGACAGATGCAAATGGGGTGACCCCTATTCCAGCTCCAACGAGCATAACAGTTTCATAGCTGAATACGTCCTCACTAGCTGTTCCAAAGGGGCCATCCACAGCTATCCTGAAATTGAAAGCATAGGTAATAAATCAATAACGAAGTGTATATTTATTACTGCTATTTTAAATAACAACAAAAATGTGAGTTATTTGTCCATTACAATGCACATTTGAGCTAAATAACGGTTGGGAAAAGAAGATGGGGATGTTGATAAGAGAAGCAGTCTAGGGACCCATTCAGACTTAGGCAAGCTGGTCATAGAGGGGCTTTTCTCCCTCCACAGCCCCATATGATCAAATCTTTGCTTCTCTGGCTTTGTGCAGCATTGAGTTCTTCTCAAACAGTAGGAGATACAAGAGATTAAGTATCCTTTGCTGGAGATATAAGGTCAGATGTGGAGATAACAGTAAAGTGTAGATCTAAAATTGAACATAAAATTCCCTGATTTTCTTTACAAAAACTCACTCAAAAAAAAAAAAAAAAAAACAGAAAAATAAATCACTCAAGTAGCTTGAAGTGGATTGAAGGAATGGTCACCAGCTTCCTCAGTGGAAGGAGTTAAGGATTGTGTCACAGGTTCGACCAATTTGGTTGAGGAAAATTTTTAGTGCCATAGATGCTGGGTGGATTTTACCATGGAGATCCTTTGTACCTACTTGGGCAACTTCCATGCTTCCTGGAATTCTTGCTTATCGCATCCGCAGGCATTAAACAGGGCCTCTGTCCAGTCCCCTACGATACGGACGTGAATGCTGAAGTAATCCTCCTCGGGAGCAGAGGTCAGGGTGAACGGATGCCATTCCAGTCGAGACACGGCAGGACATTTGACAAAAATGTATTGCCCCACCTCCATCTTGAAGCCCTTCTTCATCATCTGGAGCTCGATTGTCTTGAAGGGATGAATGACCACCTGCAGTGGGAGGGATGAGGGGAAAAGAAGAAAATGGCTGTTTTCATGACTCTTTTAAGTATATTTACATCCTTCCTGACATTATCATCCTCTCCTATGGGAGCAAAAAAAGCAGGTGAAACTTTGCTTCCAGCAGAACCAAGAGTGAGAAATAGTATCTGAGAGCCAGATAAGAGTCTGCAGAACCAGAGTTTTGGGTGAATATATTTTCACATTGTGCTTCTTACACATCTAACACATCCTCAGGTCTGTGTAAGCACATGATTAATTCCAGATGCACCTGACGCCATGGCACAGTACACATTGCTAATGAAGTGCATGTATATATGGTGGCAAAAGTATAAGGCTAGCATACAGATAGGGAATTGGATGTACAGTAGCAGTGGAAACTGAAGTTTTCTCGTTGTATTGTCCTGAGTAGCATACTGTGGGCATTTGCATTGTGCCTAATTTACTTAAGAATAAATAGAAGCAATATTCTAGAAGCAGCAATAGTATTTCCAGGGCTACAATATTTTAGTTCTAGTTGTCTGGCAAGGTTATTTTCGGTTTTCAGAAGAGATTTACAAGAGGGAGGATTGAGTCTGCCTATCTTATTTAGATATGAGTATTAATGCTTAGCATTGTGAAAGAAATTTCCTGCCAAAAAGAAACTAAGCAGACACGGCAGACAAACGGCATAGAAATAGCACAGAGATATTTTGGTAAAATTACCACAAATCCTACTAATATATAGGAGCCTTCCAACATATCAGCACCATGTCAGAGAACAGCAGAGATACCTACTGCCGTGCCCCGAACTAGCTCTGACAGGGTATGCCCGTGAGAGGAAGCATAGGGCCATGTGAGGAAATTAAATAGGAAAGGCCAGGGTAGGTTTTATGTGTTTCAGCATTCAGCAAATGCTAACTTGGCTATAATACATTCAGAACCACCATTAATATCGCTGTAAGATACTACGGGAATGTACTATCCAAGTTTGATACTGGTTTTGGCTACACGAAATAGGCACATGTCTAAGTCTCCTTTCAAAAGTCATTTGTTCTGCTGAAAATTTGAGATTCCTAAAAGCCCAGGCAGCTTTTGAAAAAAAATATATATTGGCTTCTTAAGTTGTTCTTAAGGCCATGGAATTTCTACTTTGTGTATCTTTTCCCTAGGTCACCAATAAAATCCCCCTCTCCCTCCTGATTCTCAGTCCTGTGTCATAGCTAACTTTGTCCTCTTGTTTAATTTGGGGACCAAATAGCATTTACTTTGGGGTTTAGAGACAACTATATATATTAGGAAGCAATGTTTGGGGGTTTTTGGTTCTTTTATTGTGTAATAGCAGAACACTTGAGGTTCTTTCCCTGATAATTTTGTACAGTGTGTCAGAGTCACTGGCTTTTCTGCACCATGTTCTATGTGGAAAAACAGCAATGTTAGCAGCCCACTGTTAAACATAACATCAACACATACCTTTGTGATAACAACCTTCTGCTGTGATCTCCAAAACCGCACCAGCCTTTCACACAAGTACAAAAACATAGGACCTACAACCCATTTCCATGTCTGCAACAGAATAAAATGAGAAGTCAAATGAGGAAGATGCCAGTTTACATTAAATGGGACTGGAATTGAATGGACATTACATTTTAAGATATTTAGGTTCTTTGTCAACCAGAATAGGGAATCCAAAAAAGACATGAAATTTTGGAAATGATTTCTGCTCAGAGAGGGGATTTCTTCTTCTACTGAAATTTACAGCAGGATTTATAATTGCTCACATGCAGTAGATTATTTACAGAAATGTACTCTCTATGAGTAGTTTTGTCTCTGCCTAAAACTGGAGGTACCTAAGTGAAACATGGAGTAAAGCTCTGACTGTGTTAAAGATTCTTGTCTGTATTACTGCAGGAAAGATGTGGTTTCTGCAAATCTGTCTGGCTGTAATGTGAATAACCAGCCTAATTAGTCCCTGACAACTGAAGTGTCAGTGTCACATTTCCAGAGGCATTTGCCTTCGCTTAATGAATATTACTCCACTAAAAATGTGAAAATATTTATTTTGTGGATTATGTTAGTTTCTAGAAATGCCCACAAGCCACAGAATATATTTGGGTAACCAGTTCTCAGATAGAATTTACTCTTTTGCTTTGCCTATGAACTGTGTTCCTTTTATGAGATATTTTTGATACTGGAAGTGGTTTGTCTGTCTCTATTCCATTTCTGCTTGTAATTCATCAGGTTGAAATCTACTGCTGCATATAAAGCTGCCACTGAAGGGCATTGAGGGTTACTTCATTGCTTTTTTTACAGCATGTATATGTTGTTTAACAAAAAAGTGAGCAAATTGTAAGTAATTTTTACTGGATTTATGCTCAATGCAATTGTTCTTACCATAGGAGGATTCCCTGAAAACTGGGGGATTGGACAGGCTCCTTTTTCCCCCCAGTTAGTGAAGTTCTTAGAGCAAATATCTGGGTCATGTTCATCCAGACTCTCAGCTGTCTGTCCTCGTACAATACGCCTGAAAATAATACAAAAAGTTAAGGGAATGTAAATGAAATATCTGAAATAATACTATGTATTACAAAGCTAAGCTACATATGTAACTCACAGTTATGTACTTCTGCAATGCCCCTTTTGATACAGCCTTCCTGCTCTGATCCACCCACAGAGCTGCTATTCAGAGGATAAAAATGAGGAGGAAAGTTTGTAGGAAAAAATACTGACTACAAATATCAGAGGAGTAACTGAGAAGTACATTCATTATCATTGCCAGAATGTGGCTTCAGTAGGAATCCCTACTTCTTTCAGTTAAAAAAAAAAAAAAAAAAAGGAAAAGGCACGAAGATCAATTTCTTAGTCAGCAGTACAGATTTTTTTATTCTCTTATCTTTCATAGAAATTCTGGTAAGCCCTTACCAGAAATTCTGAAAGTCTGGTAAGCCCTTTCCAATGTCTTTTAACCATTTTTCTGCATTTAACAGTGTTCAGATAGTAGGTGTTTAGATAGTCTGAATGAACTCAGATTCTGTGAATGGACACTGACGCATAAGAGCCAGCTTATGTCAGCTGATAATCTAATCTCTGCATATGCTTTGTTGTTGTTGCTTGTTTGTTTGTCTGTTTTTCAGGAAAACATTGTCGTGAACTTGTTCACTGTTTCCTGTTTGTGTGGAGTTCTCCCAACCTCAGGGGAGTGTAAAGACTCCTAAAGGAGCACAATTAGTAGGATTAGGGTCATTGTAGAGAAATTCAGATTAAGATCTGCTGATTTACCCTAGAAACGGATGGATTTTCATCAGTTTTATGCCAATATGATTCTGTTGATATCCTTGTCCCATGACTTCTCTTTTTTTTTTGCAAGCTGGGTTTGCTTAAACTTCAATTTCTTTCACTTCATGTTTCACAGAAACATGGCATCTGAATCATATATATGTCTAGCTCTGGATCATATACATGTCTAGCTTTGTGACAAATGTATCAGAGGATTATTAGAAGGTCTCTGCACAATCTTAGAAGTTAAAATAGATTACTAAATATTACTAATGCATTTCTTCCTCCTGAAGGGTTTGATTAACATCCTGTCTGAAAGGAGAAAGAGAAGGGATGACTGTTCCTAGCAGCATCACCAGCTGCGATTTACTTTCCCGCTAGTGACAACGGGCTCAGTTCAGCTCTCCTGCGTGGTGAGTGGCAGGAATAGCAGGAGCCCATCTTCTCTTCTGCCTCTTTCCTGCTACTCCGGCCCCATCTCTGAGGGCAAGAAGGGAGCCTGGTATTTTTTGCCTTGCACTACACCCCAGTTCAAGGTTGGCAGAGCAGGTACCCTGTGCAAGAGAAGGAGACACTTACTCCTTCATTACTAAGTACAGAGCTTCTCTCAGTATTATAGCTAAGCTGTCAATAGTTTAGGCTTCCAGCTACTTTCTGCTGAAAGCTTTACTTTCACTCCCAAAGTGTCTCTGAACCCTTTTCTCTTTGCATTTACTGTGATGGGAGGTTTTGAACTTTTTGTTTTGTCTGTGAGACATGACTCATGCACAGAAACCAGTTAAAGCTACAAAATGCTGTAACAGTTTGTACCAGATAAAAATCTGCCCTTTTTATTCTACTACCTTTGATTCCATTTTCTGTATATATAAATACATATGTATATATATATATAGAATAAATGTCTAATAGCATATAGCTATTTATGAAACATATGCCACTCACTGACAACTAAATACTAAGGAAAGAGCTTTCTGATCCTATTGTGGAGTAACTACTGACATCTTGGGGACATTTTATAGGTAATCATCCAATATTTGACACAGGAGACAAGAACCATTTGTCCTTTTCCTTTAGCAGGTTTTGTTCCAGCATTCTCCTTCTGGCTTTGAAAGTTCACATGGTCAAATATACTGGTAGTGATACTCATCTGCCCTCTGGTTTTGCTCTTCCTGTTGTAACATCATTTCCATCTTTTCTCAGCCATACTGGACTAAGAGGAAGTGTTTTTGAATAGTCATTTTTACAAAGCATTTTTAAAGCACTATGGTTTTCAAGCATCCCTATGCTCTGGATCCTCATTTATTTTTTAAGGATATAACATCAAGAATTTCCTTTTAAATATTGCATACAATTATGAGCTATGACATCTGGCCTGGATATGTTAGCCTTTTTTGTTTTTCTCTGTGCATCTGTTCTGTGGTTTTATAAAAGTAACCAAGGTTCATTTTTCTAAGGGCTAAAATTGCATTTGCAGGGTGCTAAAATTGTTTCAATAGGCTTTTCAGCTAATTGAAGGTATTGAAGCTATGGGATGAACCAGCACTGGAAACAGCTCTTTGGCATTTGGAAGTTAAAAAAACATACATTTGTGTACACTTGAGCTGCAGCAGCTAAAAACCTCTTTCTGAAGATGTTGCTGGTATTAAAAGCCCTCCAAGTCTGAAGGATAACCCCTTGTTCCAGTTATCATCAATCCAAGAGAATTATAGGCCCTATGTTATTTTTATGGAGTGATCTCCTTATGTACCTGTGTGTGATGCAATTCCTTACACAAGGATAAGCAGAGGCAGGAAGCTTGAGGAAAAAAAAAAAAAAAAAAAAAGCTTTTCAATTAAATATGAGAAAAGGGGAGTTTAAGGATGCCTGATTCTCACGAAACCTCATGCATGTGTCACTGGGACCCTGTGGTTCTGCCCCATCATCGCCATCAAACACGACTGCTGCTTTATGACTGAAATCACTCTACCTCTGTGCACAGGAGGCTTTAGATTTAGTTATTTAGTTATTTAGTTAGATTTAGTTATTGTGTACTGCGTGGCAAATGCAAATACTCACCCAGCACCATGGATGACAAGACCGATAAAGAAGATGACGAAGAGATGGTGCGTGTACCAAAACACTTCGAAGTATGACCTTCGGATGGTTTTGGTGGATGACGTGATGATCAGGATGAGGGCCAGCGTAATGATAACGCCAGTGAGACCCGCCAGGTACGTGAAAGCCACGTAGAGGCCCCCCACGGGATTCTGTGAAATAATTGCACACATTTGTCTGAGAAAAGCAACGCACCAAAGCTGAGCCAGATGAGTCATTAGTATGTCTTACTTCCAAAGTTGTTGCCTTGTTTCAAGTCTCTAAGTCACCTTCTGTGAATTTACGTGCCAACTGCGCTGTTGGAAACCCATCTCCATGTCTGTTGCACTGCAGATTTACCCTTAGTAAAATAAGAGGCTAAACTCCACTCCAAAAAAAAAAGTGGAAATAGAAAGAGGCTTCTGCCTATTCACACACCCAAAACTGTTTCCAGCTCTGCCACTGGTCAGCAGTGCGGCCTTGAGCCTGTGCGCTGCTTGAGCTGGATCCTATGGCCCTGTGTTGAGGCGGTGAAATTTATGGCTGTGGCTTTATGACCCTGTGGCTCTCATAATGCTTAAGGTCATCGGGCGCCCTATATTTCTTAGGTTTCTTTTTGTTTTTCTTCTTTAACCAGATCTTAATAACAGGGAGCCCAAGTTCAAAACCTTTGCCCTCCTTTCTGCGTGCCTCACATTTATCAGAGTCAGAAGGCTTCTTTCCAGGGCATGTTATGTTTTTAAGAAGGTTTCATTTCAAAATTATTTTGAAATCTTGAGGTGAAAAAGCTTGAAGCAATGCTGATATCCAGAAAAAAAAAATGATTACTGACAAACATAGAAGAACACATTGCACTGCGTTTCCCAGTAAAATGCTCCCAACACAGATCGTGCCCAGCTAATCTTAGGGAAGAGTGTGGATGGATGTGATTCAGCACAGCCTGACGTCGCTTACCGGAATAGTTCTTCTAACGAAGTTCAAGTAGCTTTCGTTGGGGTTATCCCCAAGACCGGAGAGCACAGCTGCCAGGGTGCCCTTCTCCTCCACACGTGCGTGCACACTCCACTCCACATTGAACAAGTGCGCGACGGTGTGAATTGCTAGGAGCGACAGCAAAGAAATCATCAGGCTTAAGCTCAAGAGAAGTACTCAGGGGTTTTAGGTAACATTCTAAATTCTGTAGCATTGGTCAAAGGCAACTTAAAACTTTTGCACGCTCCCTCTCTTACCCTACCCAGCTAACCATAGTTTCAGATGACTGACATGTTTTACTATCGCAGGGCTCCCACCTGACGTTTACATCTTTTTGGGTGGCAGGATATGAAAGGAGGGAGTTTTCAGCCCATTATTGCTCAAGAAAATAATCCAAATGGCAGAGCAATACCCCAGTTTGTATGTTGGAGACTGAAGGAAAGGGAGGCTTCACTGATTTGCCTGGATCAAACCGGAGTTCTGTAGATGAGTCAATAAATGAATCTGGATTTCTTTGGTGCCATATGGGCCAGGGTTTCTTTCCTCTGCCACACTAATAATAATCACTAATAATATTTCTACTGAGTTGGCTTTGTCCATAAACACAGTTTAACTGAGGTGTTTTGCACTATTAGTTTCACTGCGTATTTTTAGGAGGGGCAAACACACAGCACTTCTCATTTTTTTCCCCTTTTGTATCACTGTATTAACCTTCAAAACTGAAGGGGACTGATGTCCCACTGCTGAACAGCTCAGCTCTGCTGCAGAGCTTCCCTGTGGCCTATCATGCAATTCCTGCCAATGCAGCGGTGGCCACGCTACAGTCACAGCTTGGGAGGGCAACCTGCTCGGCTCAAGCAATTTATTGATGACTCCAAGGCTGTTCCAGGATATATAATTCATAAAGTACTTGGACAGAGAGGTGATAAATTTGTTGAAAAATAACAGAACCCCTCTAGTTTATGTAGCGAGAGATAAAGTGCCTCATTCATTCTTTTTGTCCTTTTATTTCATTGCTTCTATTACTTGTTTCAGACAAGCGAGCTAGGAAAAAAACTCCACAGAAGAGCTCAAGGCAGAGCGTTTGGTTCTCAGGACGTTGCCAGTACCCTTTATTGAGCACTGACTTGCATGGTGCTACCAGAGCAGCAGGAAGGTGGCTTATCTATCTTTGGCTCTCTGCCAATTGTCGCATATTATTTGGAAACCTGTTTAAGCCTTCACACATGCTGATCCCTTTAGGATCATAAAATCAGGTCTCTGCCTGTATGTTTATAACCTGAATCCCACTCGGATACCGTGTAAGGTGACGGGAGAAAGCAATGCATGACGAAACATTTGGGTACCGACCAGTATGAAGGGCGATCATCCAGGCCACCATTTTGTGGAAGGTGAGGTTCCTGTCCAGCTGCCGTCTGACACGGGTCGAGCAGCACTTTGGATGGGAAGAAAAAAAGTATCTGTAGATTATTTGTGACGCCTGGGCAGAGTTACTTAAATGTAAGGAAAAAATGTTAGCCCTGAACACAGCAATGGAGCGCACAGAAATATTTCACTCTTCAAAACACAGAAATACCAGCTTATGTTTTAATATGTCCCCTTGAGACCAATTACTCGATCATGAGGGAAAATTTCAAATACAGTATGGCAAAAGTAGGTATCTATTCATATTAAATTTAAATATACATATACATATAATTGCATATAATGAACTAAGGGAGGGATTACCCTTTGCCATGGTAAAGTGACTGTTAATGATTTTTCTTACTTTTTGGTAGTGTCGAATAGCCTAAGCCAGCATGAGGATCCTGCTCTGGTTTACACTGTAGAAATAAACAGCACTGCTTGGGTACGAGTGTCTCGAAGAGTTTCCACTCCAAACACGGGAGTCACTTACGGTCCTATGAAGTGATTCCTGCCCCCAGAAGCTGGGTGTACCTCTCTGAAATTCATTTAGGATAGCTACAGGAGTCACCCAAAGTGGCCCCAAGTCCGTGTTAGGACACAGTTCTCTGCTGTTGAAGTGAGCTTTTGGCCTTGCAGTGACTGCTTTGAAATTTCCTCCAGCTCCTTTGAAATAGTATCATTGCTTTGACCTTAGACACTGTCTTCCCAATCTGCCTTCAGCTCGGTGGCTGTGACATCTCTTGTAGACATTGTGAAGGTCACGTATACCCACAAGCTCATTGCTTGCCAGACACATTGGTCAAATTACATTAGATCCTACAGACTATGGATGAATTATTGACATCTGCACCCTATGGAGCCAGTTTGAATTTTGACAAATACTAGTTGATCCTTCCCAGGGCAGGGCAAGTACCAGTTTGACCCTACAGTTTTGCTTACTATTCTTTTTATTTTTACATGCCCACACTTCCTCTGTATGGAGGAATCCTGAATAACAGGCAACTCTTTTTTTTTTAGATCTTTCAGCCCCCACATGGAACACACTGTGTTGCACAGGATACAAGGGAAAAAAGGAAGATTGGAAAATAAGGCTGATTCAAGGCTCAGTATCTCACCACTGTACTAGATGTACTGTTAGCACATAGATCCTACTCTTTATCATAGGAGAACTCTGGTCTTGTCTATTTCTCAGAAAAAGACACTCCTCAAAGTACAGTTATCTGGGAAACTTGGACTATGTCGCTTGGTAGATTTGCAAGGCTGCTTGGGTCTTCTTCTTTCATAGATTTTGAAATTCTTTCCTCATCTTACCGCACTCGATCCTCTGAGAAAGGACAGCAAGTTTCGACATACTGGCAGCAGAATCAGCATGCAGTTGAAATTCAGACAAGCGGCAGGAGCTCTTGCTAGAGCTAAAGCACGCTGCAATGAGAGAGAGGCCAAAAGTATTTACTTACGCAGTATCAAGGAAACTGAGATTTCACATAAGGACTGTTATCTAGGAAAAGCAAATTTCTTTTATGCATCAAACCACAACTTCTTAAGAAAGTTTTATGAGAACTTAAGATAATCAAAGATGCTCACATTTCGGGGTAGTCATTCTCTGGCCAAGTCAAGGGTTTACATGCGAACAGAACACATTGCTCCAGATAAAAACCTGTTTCTATTTCCATTTTTTAAATTACACAGAATAACATGATGGTATGAAAAGTTCCCTGCAATGTCTGAAAATTGATGGTCAAACACAGAAGTCTAGGACATTAGTAGAGTTTCCTGTCCCAAGGCTATATAGAGTCTTAATGCTGTGGTTTCAGTTGGCTGGAGGTTTGGGGTAAAAGGAAGGAGAACTCATGAAGGAAGTGGCTGTATGATCAGAAATGACTTGGATGGCCCAGAATTTTTCAGAAATGTAGGTTTGTCTTTCTTGTGACTAGCACCAATATAACAGAAGCTTTAGCATGTTCATAAGAGTTCATCTAGCTCCAGAAGGTTAGTGCTTGGGGCTCTTTCTCTGTTACGCCTCTCTGCTGTCAGTAAAGGGAGTCTAAATTAGTTATCTCATCTTCTAGGAATATGATCTCTTAAGCTGAACTTTATATCCTGAATGGTTTCAGATTTTGACAAAGAGTTAATCCAAGCACACTAAACTAAAGGAAAAGGTAATGTTTGCTCTTTGTGCATTGACTTGGGGCAGGACATGCGATGTTCAATATAACCAGTTACGTTGTATTTAGTAGGCTGGGATTCAGGACCTCTCTTGCCTAATATCACTTGATGACTATATGAATGATGATGGCTTTTCAGGGCTAATAACTATATAACCAGTTCATACTATGAGGGAATAATTGCAAAGGGAAGTGATGGCACAGCAATTTTAATGGAAATATTTTATTCATCTTCTGAAAAAAATAAAGCAGACAGAATATACGTTCACTTCTTTAATTATCAGGAACAAAAGACTTCTGAAGATCTCTTCAGAATGGAATTCTTTTTTGTTTCATATAAGCTTTCTGTTCAAAGTCACTCTTTTATTCAGTTGTCTGTTCTATTCAGTTGTTTACATGTGACGTTTTACTCCTGTACGAATCTACTGATTCAACCTGTTTCTTTTTCAATCAAAGTAAGGGAAAAATGCTGTATGTCCAGTACATGTCAGAATAATATGTACTTTTTACTTACGCCAAGGAGGACTCTGGTGTAGAAGAATTTTGGTGGGAGATCATATGCAAGATAGAACCACCAAAAGAGGAAGACATTTAACCCCAGCCACACAAGCTGAAAGAGAAGTGAACAGGAACCTTTAGAGTTTGTTGTTAAAGTCTATACGTCTGAATTTACACAGTTCAGAAAATGAAGAATTATTTCATTACATTCCTATTTGCACAGAAAGGTGCACTTCAGGGTGTGATCAGCAGGGATGACATTTTTCTGGTGGAAATGGGCTTTGAGGTATATACATAGGAGTAGTGGAGTGGCAAAGAAACACAATAAAAAATGGTACTGGAAAACTTTGTATAGCTAGAAGAGTTTAGGCTTAGAGCCTGTCTAAGTCCGTAAGTGTAGTTGAATCTCTAAACATCTTTTGAAGGTAGGACCTCTTATTAATGGGAGTACCTCAGTCATACTCATCTTTGTCAGAGGAAGACTTTGGAGCCACCAAAAGAAAGCTTTGGAGCTGTGCCAAAGGACAAAGAAGTTTGAGGTCTAAATATAGATGTCCATAATGACACCTGAAGTCCTGACACAAAAGTCCTAAGTTCCTGAGAAAAAAGTCCTGTCCCTGACATTTTTAGTTGAGTAAGAGCCTCTGAAGGTCTGAAGTCAGCGGGAAATGTTCAACATAGGCACTTAGGTGGAGTTTAGGCTACCCAAAATTGGGCTTCTTAGTATCTACATTGCAATATTCTCTCATATTGCACATCCTACATGGCAGAATTACTTAGAGAAAGAAGTTATGAGCACTTCTCAAAGGTGCAGGCCTGTCCAGCCCAGGAGGCGGTGATGAATCTGGCCATGCACTCTTCTGGAGATAGTTGGCTGACTTCGCATCCCCCAGGGAAACCAAATCGTGTCACTGCTTCTCTCTTCTAAGTAGATTTACTAGGTAGAGCATGATGATGAAGGAGACAAAGCCTGAGACCAGTAGGCCTGTAGTCTCTGGTCATAAATTCAGGACAAAACTGTGATACTACAGCCTCTTGTCCCACCTAGCTCATACTTTTAAGTACTATTCTTGCTGAACTCCTTGGCTCAGCTGACACTGGAGTTGTTATTTTAGATCTTGAAAACGTCTCACCTACAAGGTGCAATGCCAGGGAATTGAAGGAATTTCCATCAGCATAAGCAAGTATGTGAGAAATCCCCAAGTCTTTATTACAAAATTAAGCTCAACTCAGGTAAAATGCTGAGGATGCATATTTAAAGCAGGATTGTGCTACTTCCATGCACAGTAACATGACAGCATGTCCAGAAGACTAAGATCCTTGGCACGATCCGTGATGGAGCTTCACACTTCTGTGTTTTGCCTCATAAGGAATGTGGGCCCTGTGAGCAACACTGTGACACCCTGTGACAGCCTGGATCGAGGTGCAAGAGTCAGCAGCCACCCATACTCTTTGGTTAGGGCCAGTGGAAGCAACATACATTGGGGATAAGGTTGACATGTCAGGAAAAACAAAGCAAAACAGAGGAAACCAAGACTATGTCTGTTTTGTTGAGAAAAGTAAAAAAAAAAAAAAAAAAAGTGGAACCCTGTTTCTATCAAGCACTGGGTTATCCTGTAGTTGTTTGGTGTACAATAAACGAGTAATGGACAAAGTAGGACACTTTGTAAAGGCCTCCAATGAACTGTTTTATTTTTCTTTTATTTTTTTTTATGTCAGTGACTTCTTTATTTTCCTTCCCTGTATATTGGCTAACCTTGTACAGCTCTGAGACTCTGAACACAAATTCCTCATTGAAGAAAATAATGGCTTCTTATTTAATATTGCAGTCCTGATGGGAGAACTATGACGGAATTCATCTCTTGACAGTTTCTACTTCCTCAAGTGACTGGATACAGCAAATACAGCTCTTCCAAAGCTCCAAAGTGTCAGAGCTTTGTTTCTGAACTAGAACTATGCTTCCACAATGTAACATGTAAGTACTGATCATTCATAGCAAGGCAAATATCTTTGTGAATAAAGATATTCACATTTTAGTCTCCACAAATATAGTTTTATACCTTCTTTTTATTCCTCTCAGTATATGCCTAATTAACAACACTTTGCAACAATGTCCTCATTGGTATTACATTTTGCTGTTACAGAATATTGAGCACTTACAGCTCTTACATCATCCATTTCTTCCCAGGCCGTTGTAACATGAGCGAAAAGAACAAAAAAGGAACACTGAAATACGAACTTCTTTCCTCGAAGAAGGAGATCTGCCTTACAGTTTAGCTCTTAAATGTAAGGATGATTTTCAGTACATTTGGATGTTGCCTGGAATTAACTGAACCCACTTTCAGAGCAGCTGCATGCAAGCTATACACAAGCACAGCTCAAATACAAGTTGTCTTAACGAGGGATTTATGAATCACTGCTCTAAATTCCGGAATCTGACTATACTAACAGATTTTCTACTATCAAGAAATACCCACTGTGCTTTCAGTAACATTCACTTTTGTTTATAAAAGTGCAAGAGAGGTTTGCTTTCATCGTTTTTTTTCTCTCTTTCGAAATACACGTACTTAACACTGAGATGTAACGTTATTTGTTTTCCTTAAATCACTATTGCATCAGAAACTCTGGACACTTCAATATTTATAGCAAAGCAAATGGGAGTTAACATACGATCATTTCTCAGCTGACAAGGTAGCCTGCAGCAACCTGGATTCCAGCTAGAGCTCCTTAAAAAAATAAACTCTTCAGGTATAATGCAACTGCACTTGCTACCCTAGTTTCAGAAAAGGCAACTGCATCACTCACGGACGCAAGGAGATCTACCCTGTTGCAGCTTTCCGTGGAACGGTTTGCTAGATACTAATCACAAGAAAAATTGTACTTACGACGACAAAGATGGACAGTCCTTCATTCTCCACCCAGTTACCCATGGTTGCCTGAGAAGAGCGTGCACAGTGGCCCTGCTCTTTCTGGGACCGTGTCTATGTCTTCTCTCATAAGGAAGTGAGAGTAGAAGCTTGCAGCAACCTGTTTCCTTTCTCATTCATTTAGGAAATAAGTTAACCATTGAATCATATCATAGTTCATTTTCAAACCATCTTTCTACTGTCTTGCATGGAATTTTTGGTAATTTAAATATATGCAAGCCAAAGAAACAAACTATTTCTTCCTCATGCGGTACAGAGTTTGGGTTTTGCTGGAGTTTTCAGCTCAAAAAGGTGTTGCCACTTTATACAACCTGCAATGCCCTGGAGCCCTATCCAGTCTTGCCTTTTTTTTTTTTTTTTTTTTTATCACTTATGTTATATTTACTATTCCTGATGATCGTCTTTGGTGAATAATCACTAAGGTTATTTATCTTCCAGTAATTCGCTCCCAGATTGTAACCTACCATTTCTGTTGTCTGGTGCAAGTGCGCAAGTTCTGCCACTTTCCCTCTCCTGAACCCAGTTTTTCATAGGATTCCAGCCCCAAGAATCACGTCACTACATGAGGATAATTTTTAAAGGAAGCATTTTGCTTTTGTGATTATAGAGAAATACATGGAAAATTGTATTGTCCCACTGTATTTTAGAGCTTAGGAACCAGAGGACATTTGTCCCAACTGCATTCATTTTTCAAAAATAGTATCATGATTTTCTGAGGGAGATAATGATTTCTGTATGTTTGGTCTTTGTGGTATGACAGTTTTCAAACTTGTGGTGAACAGCACAAAATGGAAGATTGGAGGGAGACTGGGGATAAAGTGTGAACATCCTTGGGCAAGGTCAGAGCCCTAGAGAGGAGAAGTGCTTCTAAACATACTTCCTCTTCACTTTTTCTCCTGTGTATGACCACGGCTCCACAGAATTGTAGAGCTCTTCTAAAAGTGGGTAACACAAGCCTACCTTCTTTCCAAAGATCTGGATATATATTAATGCTTTTTTAAAAATCTTTTATACTTTAAAGAAAAAAAAACTTTAATTTTTCTCTATGCAGAAGCACTTTTTTAACAGCATTTTCCCTTTGCTACAGCTATAACACATTATTCAATGCACTCCTGTCCTGCAGAATTTTGCTGCGTTAGAAAGTCTAAGAGAGCACAGCAGAAGGCAAAGTTGAGACGACATAGATGTTTTGCAGGGCCCGATCCTGCCCCTACAGGAGTAAATAGAAATCTTCCTGTCAAACTTGAACAGTATAGACTGGCTCTGTGGGGTAACTGTGGAGCTGATCTGCACTTTAGACCAAGATGTCACATAGATACCAAGAACTGTAGAGGCAGATATAGAAATTGAGCAACCTACACCAGACAGAAAAAAAAAATCAGTTTCAGTACAATTTACCTTGCTATGGAGTCACTTAGAAACTAGCTAGAAACTAGCTTAGGAACTGATTCTGGTAGAGATGTAACATTTGGTCATGACGAAGAAACGAGAATTAGGAGATGCAACGTAAGTACCTGTGTTCTTCATAACAGATCTCCTCCTGTCTCTACTCCTAACTTATGGCCTTTCTTAAATTTCTTCCAGAATATGACTTCCATAAAGTTATATAACTGGGACTTGAACAAAGATCCACTGCAGAAACAAAGTCATAGGTTTCTTGGTGTTTATAAAACAAATGAACAAAGGCATCTGAGTGCAACAGGCAACTTCTAAATTATTATTTTTTATTGAGAAGTATAGAAGCAACAGCTGGTAGCCCAGGTTGTAAGAGCAGTCCTCCATCCCACCACATAGTCAAGACTGTCCATGTTTTAATCATCTTGCTATTCCTCAGAAGACGCCTATGTTTCAGTAACTGAAAACCATGGTAAAGTCGTCAGAATCTGTTAAGCTGAGTTCACAGTTCATCCTCTTTTGACCAGCTCTGTGATGGTTCAGGCTCTCATGTGGTGTCAGTTCCTTTGATGACCTGTCCAAATTGATGTCACCTGAGGCTCTAGTCCCCTGTATTTCGCTCCTGTGTTTAGGGAGGGAGCTTGAGTGGTCAGGGGTCAATCCTGATCTGTGGCTGTTCCTTCTCGCTGTGAAGATCAGCAAATTCTCCTTGCTCAGGAATGGCAGTACTCTCTTTATGGCTCCCTTTTCTCCACTACTTGAAGTAGCCTATGGCTTCTCTGGGCTGAGCAGCTATGTGCACCAGGACACTCTGAGGATCAGCAGCCCTCGCTTGCCTGGCTGCCCCTCAGGCACCAGAGCCGCTAAAACAGGGGTTCAGCAGCTTGGGAGGTTTCTGCTAAGCCATAAACCCAAGAGATGCTGCTGAGCTTAGCTCAGCCACAGCTCTGAAATTACCTTATATGTCCAAAAGGAATGGAAAAAGTATCTTGTTGTAATAATTTTTTTAATGCTCTGTAAATACCCTTTGCCCCTACATTGTGTAAATTAGCCACGGAAAAGTCTCTGTTGGTGATAAAGCAACAGTTAAAAAAAAATAGGACAACACGTAGCAAACCTTGTCTGGCTTCTGTAAGTAACAGGTGTGAGCAGAAGTGGTATCAAAACCACCCACACATCACCCTTGATTTAATTGTGGTGCTTGTACCTTCTGAATGAGTGAAAGCACACTGCTCTAGACAGAGAGACTTGCGTGTTTTGTAATTTGGTCTATGTAAAAAAGTACATCAATTACCAGAAAAAGCAACATTGCCAGCTGTGTATTAATGTAAGATTGTGTAAAACAAGAGTATGAAAATTCTACCTACTTTCTATCTAAAAACTTTCTATCTTTGTCTCTAAAATTTCTTTCAAGTTAACTATGCACCGTATTTTTCACCCTTTTTTGTACTGAAAAGTTCAATGAATGGTTTCCAACATGGCACTTTTGTAAAAGTATTCAGGTCTCAGGGTTCTTTATCCTTGCACTAATTTTACTGCCTAGGTTATGAATTAATCTAGCTCCGGGCATCATCCCCACAATAGTGTCCCATGCTAAATCCTATACAAATACAAAATAAAATGCAAGGCAGCTGCAGTAGGCCCAGGTCTTTCCACACAAGCTTGCTAAAAGGGACAACATTAGGACTGTGCACGTATAAACTGCAAGGGAGTCTAACAGAAAGGGCTGAAGGAGATGCAGCTCCTGCACTGCTGACAGTGTTGCCGAGCCAATGCTCTGGTGCCCCTACCCATGTAGCAGGAGGAGAGCCAAAGAAAAGCCCCCAAAAGCCTCCCATGTTTTGTAGGCCGAAATCTATTGTTGAAAGCTGTGAAATCTCTTTTTCCCAACCTTCCTATGATACTACCAAAAGAAGACAAGAGTTTTGTCAAGCCTTTCTTTCTGAGGGAAAAGGCCACATCCTTAACCTTAGGTCTATTGGCAAAAGGGCCCATTTCTGCACCACCCAGAAGAGCTGCCGTCACACACACTCTGAAGCTGTCACCATACTGATTTGCATTCACCCAAGGGAATGACATATTCTGAAACTCCCGCAGTTTGCTTGCAAGACAAATGACTCCATGCTGAGGACAGGGAGGAAAAATGTACAGATATCAACCAAGGAAAAGAAAAAAGTCAGTGAGAATGCAGTGAGGACGGACAGACCTTCTGTGCCTTCACTTTACGCTACAAGGCCCAGTGTAGCTCCCTGCTCCCACACTTCCTCACACTGCATTCCACAACGATCACAAGAGATCCATGTGCTGGACTTCAGGGCTCCATGAATGATCCACATGCTGCTGGTCACGTTAGCCCTGGCTTGAAATCTAACAGCAGTGGCACAGAGCAGGTCCGGACTGCTGCACACAGGACAGCATAGCCTTGCAGGCGTTGAGCCAAGGTCAAAATAACCTGGCTTTGCATGAGATTGAGGTGGGGGAGCCCAGTCTGTATCTGCGCTCTGCCTATAGAGGGGGACCCACCATAACCTGTCAACTGGCAGTTTCCGTTTAGGAAAGCATCCTGAAAAATGTAAAAGGCAGGGTATCTTTCCCTGCGCACATCTTCAGAAAGTTGGAACCCCAAACTACCGATCTAATATTTCTCCGCGTGCGATGCCGCTGGCGAGAGGCCGGCGCTGCCCAGGCCGAGCACAGCTGCCCGGGCGGCTGGTGCCTCCCGCAGAGCCCTGGGGGGTGATGCCCCCTGGTGGCCGGGCGGGCTGCTCCGGGCAGAGCCGCCTGCCCTGAGGGACCTCACGGAGGAACCGACACCTGAACACGCTGGAGGAGACGGGCCCATCTGTCCAGCAGCTTCCCGCCGCATGTCCCTTCTCTTGTGCCCCCTTTCCCATCACACCTAGGCCAGGCCAACTGTTCTCCTGTTCAAATAGTCATTGCTGCCTTTTCCCCGTCCACGGTCTCTTGTTCAGTGCTGGGGTGTCAGCTCCCACTCCTCCTTAGCAGCCTGTGATCACACTTTGGGAAGGGGCATCAAGAGAACAGCAGCCCGTTTCCAAATAGGAATAGCACATGCTTCCGAACAGGATGCACTGGAACTGTAGCACTCCTGGCACACTTTTGTCTCCTCACTTCTACAGTCAGGAATGAGTGAGATGTCTCACTCACAAGCTGCTCTGTCCTTTACAGCGCGTTCCTCACAGCCTTTACAGCGTGTTCCTCAGCGTGTGCGGAGTGAAGAGGGGCTTAGTTTAAAACACATCAGAGGGAGAGGTCTACTTAAATGTTACTAGTGGGTTAGGCTTGTAAGGGTCTGTCCATCTTGTCTTTTGGTGTGACCGCTGGATGAGTTTTAGCAGTGAATCACACCTGTGTTTTGTCTAGGGACAGATCTAGATGTTCTGCTCCCACGGGATCCTGGAATGCCAGGCTAAGGTGGTAAGGGTCAACACAGATTTTTCTAACATCTCCTGTTATAACTCTTAGGTGTCTATTAGGGCACGTGAGAATTCAGCAGACCATATGCAGTAGATCTCAAGACAGAGTCAGAGAACTTCTCCTAGGAGACCTGTAAAAGTTGACTAAGAAAACAAGCCAACAGTCAGCAAATTTAAATCTACATTCTGT